TGTATGAATAATGCGAAGAATAACTAAAAGATGACAACAAACGGCGCACGCAGGCACGCAAGCAAGCGTGCACCCACACACACACACACACAGACACGCACAAATGCACACCCTACACACAAAACATTCTAGCTCGCACCCTGAAACGAGGCTGGGACAGATCCGTCGCAATGATGGTGAGGTTTCACTGTGCATGCTGAACTTGACCCCAACTACTTCGTAGTTTGTGGGGTTATTCCCTCTTATTCTCGGATTCTAGGCGATGCTAAACCCTAAAACCTAAACCCTAACCTCTAAACCCTAAACCCAACCCCTAAACTGAACCCATCTTGCGTTTCGTGGGGCTCTGGCCGCTGATCAAAGCTTGCTGTCTGTACAGCCTGGTCTGGCCATTCGGATTTCCAAGGGCCCTTGTTGGGGAGTCCCCATTGGTATGTTTATATGTATACTAACAGTCCGTAATAGGCATTCTTCTAGGGCAAAGCACGCACCTCATACTCGTTCGGGCTTAGGGGATGCAACACGAGTCCAGTTTTCAGGCACAAGGGGTCTGAAGGTTGCCATGTATTTCGACGGGTGCTGCATGGATGACGCTGACAGAATGTTGTTATCATTCTTACTGCCAGTAGTAGCATGACTCTTGCCACATTCCTATTTTGGGATGTTCTCGCTTAAGTATACTAACAGTCCTTTATAGGGTTTGTTATAGGGGGAACCCTAAACCCTAAACCCTAAACCCTAAACCCTAAACCCTAAACACCACAGTTGATATTAGTAGGTGTAGAGAGCGGAGACGCCGGACCGCAGGAGGCAGAGCAAGTCGTTTCCGCAGCGGGCAGGCGGCATGCACAGGTCTTTGCGCCACCCTTCCTCCAACATTACAACATTGCCAACTGGGTTTAGGGTTTAGGGTTTAGGGTTTAGGGGCAACCCAGCCCGTTCCCTGAATGTTGGGATGTTGCCCCTGAAACTATCAGCCCTTAGTAGGGACTCCAAGAGGGGGTACAAAGATCCTAAAAAGGACTGCTCGTGTAATTAAGGGGCATCATCCCAACCTGAACCCTACATTAGGCCTTATGAAAGTATCAGGAAGAAGCCTTGCACACGTCACTGCTCCCGCGCGCACCTGAGCTCAAAGCGCAGCAACGATGTTGACGACTATGCAACGTCGTAGTTTGCAGGCAAACGAGAGCCTGCAATGCCAATGTCAAGGCAACTGACGGCTGCCTTCGGGGTCCCCCAGAAGAAGCTCGAAGCCATGTGATTCGTTCCCTACGTCTGGAAAAGCCTGCAAAATCTCAGCCAATCATACCTTGCCCAGGGAGCTTGCGTAGCCCCCTAAAGCCCCCCTAAAGCCCCCCTGAGCCCCGCAACCTCATCCTCAAAACCCCAATCTTTCGACCCAGTGCCGAACTCCCCCCCCTTTTTTTGCCCAAGAACCCGAGGTGGCTCTTGGGCCATGATTAAGGCCCGTATATTGCATAAAACCCAAAGGATCATCAAGCCCTAAGCCCTAAGCCCTAAGCCCTAAACCCTAAACCCTAAACCCTAAACCCTAAACCCTAAACCCTAAACCCTAAACCCTAGCCCTAAACCCCAATACCCATCTTCTCAGTTCCGGGCCCCGGAGAGCCGCCGATGCTATACATTGCTCTCGCGCCTCCGGAAGACACCGCAGGGCTACCCCGAACCCAGGGTTTCAGGTTTAGGGTGTAGGGTTTAAGGTTTAGGGTTAGGGTTTAGGGTTTAGGGTTTAGGGTTTAGGGTTTAGGGTTTAGGGTTTAGGGTTTAGGGTTTAGGGTTTAGGGTTTAGGGTTTAGGGTTTAGGGTTTAGGATAACTTCAGCCCTCAAGGAGAAGTCTTGGGGATGCTGTGAATGCCCTGAACAATTGAACAATGAGGGCAGCCATCGAGTGTTGTTGTTGTTGTTGTTGTTGTTGTTGTTGTTGGGGGGGGGGATTTTTCTGTTTAGGGTTTAGGGTTTAGGGTTTAGGGTTTAGGGGTATGAGGGGTATGAGGGGTATGAGGGGTATGAGGGGTATGAGGGGTATGAGGGGTATGAGGGGTATGAGGGTTCTACTTTGAAGCCCTTTTGGCTTAGTTAGTCTACTTAGTATCCCCTAGAACCCCTACTACAATCCTTACGAACCCACCTTACCAACCCTACTTGCGAAGTCAAAAGGGCTTCCAAGTATCTATTCATCCTTTGGTAATGGCCTAGGCATCCAACGGCCAAAAGCCCGGAACAAATTGGGGGTCCAGGTCTACTTCGAGGTTCAGCAATTATGCTTCTAACCCCCATTTAGGGTACTTATATCCCTACTTATAACTACCCCAATGAACCTCCAAGTAGAGGCATCGAGCGTAGCGGCATCAGTAAGCTTGGGCTTCTGATTCTCGAGTTGAATTGTCCCGATGAGGGGTTGGGATTTAGGGTTTAGAGTTTGGGGTTTAGGGTTTAGGGTTCAGGGTGGACTTGCAGGTTTAGGCGTGAAGTTTTTTTTACGTCCGAGCCCCGCCGCAGTTGAAGTTGCCCAGTCGCATCTCACAAGACACATTATATTGGGAAGTGTTTAGGGTTTAGGACTTAGGCTTTAGGGTTTAGAGTATTATGTAGTCATGAGTCTGGTACTCATGTAGAGCCCGGGCTTTGTAACTAGGCCTTGGAAGACTTGGGGTTTGGAGGGTTTGTCCGGTCCCCCAAAGTAGTGACACGTATGCACAGCAGCTTGGTCGTGCTTCGCGCTCAATGATGGGATGGTGGCGGGTGCCTCAGCGGGCGGTGAGCACGGGACTACTGGCCGGCACTTCTAGCTAACCTCGGTAGCGGCTCGGAGAGAAGCACCCTCGCAGGCGGCAAACATCAAGGTCTTCTTCCGTTTGCGCCACGGGCTAAGCTGTTCCTAAAAGCAACGGGGGTCGGATCTTGCGCAGTGTCTACAGTCCTCACAACCCTAAACCCTCAAACCCTGAAACCCTAAATTCTGAAACTCCAAAGATTTGAAACCCTAAAGCCCTAAAACCCTAAACCCAATAAACCCCATCCGAGCGTGGAACTGCTTCTGCGCAGCGTGGCTGGGGCAGCACTTCCGTCGGTTTAATCTGTTTTTGGGGTTCCCGTTTATGTTGTAGGAACAAGAAAGCTTAACCATAGGATGTTCCCCCTTGTACTTATCAGTCCTTAATAGGGATTCTAGTAGGGAGAATAAGGGGGAACATCCCAACAACCCTAAACCCGAAACCCTAAGCCCTTAAAGAATCAAGTTCTTGGGAATTAGCAGATGTCGCGGTCACGCGCAACAACCCACAGAGAAGGAAGCCAGGCGCAGTTGTGCGGGCAAATCTTCTTCAAACCCTAAACACTTAAACCCGAAACCCTAGACCCCAAACCTTCAACCCCTAACCCTAAACCCTAGCCCTAAACCCCAAACCCTAATACCCTTCTTCTCAAGCCCCCTCATACCTGTGAACAGCGGGCAACCAAGGCCCCAGCGCACGGCCGTCGAAGGTGGCTCCACCTTTTTTGTTTTTTCTTCCACCGCGGTCCCCGTTAAGCGCACAGGGTTTAGATGTTAGGGTTTTGGGTTTAGGGTTTAGGGTTCAGGGTTTGGGGTTTGGTGTTTAAGGCTTAGGGCTTTGGGTTGAAGGTTTAAGGTTTCAGGGCTTAGGGCCGGGCGTGAGACCTGGATGCAAAAGGGTACAAGAGCCCTGGTTGCAAAAAAAGTACCCTGAGCCCAGACCCTGTAACCCTAAGCCTCCGAAAAAGTGCTGTTACTTGGAGGTTCATGGTACTTATTTTAATCAATTATAACTGTACTTATAACTGTAATTATAACCATATTAGGGCATTTAAGAGGCTTCTAAGTGGGTTATGGGTGCAGTTATAACTGGTTAATAGGTACCATGAACCTCCAAGTGGGCTCAGGAAGTTCAAGAACTTTGCGTTCCTTTGCTGGTCGCGTTGTTACTCTTTGCTCACATAGTAAAAGCATCCTCCCTTCTCAGGGCAACATAGGTATTATCTTCAGCTTCGAAACCTCTAAATTGAGGAATATCCCCCCCCCCCCCCCCCAACCCTAAACCCTGAATCGCAGTCGGGTCCCTATCATAGCTAGGTAGGCCCTTCGGGATATTTTATAGATTTTCCCTCATTGGGTTCAAGAGGACCATGTTCAGGAATCTTTTTCAGAGGGTTTTACGGACCATCCTAGATAAAGATCCTTTAGATGTTTTACGAGTCTTGGGCAAGCATGTGCAGAAGCAAGCAGTGTTCTTCGACTCTCCGCAAAGTATACAAAGCATCAAGAATCAGCAGTGCGGTCACTCCGGAAAGCAAAACAGAGACTACTAGCTGTTTAAGAACCCTCAAGCAACAATACAGAATAATCCCTATATTGCCCGAATAAGGCAGAATGTTTGTCACTTTTTGGGTGGTTCTTCAGCAAATAGTAGGACCGGAGACATCAACCAAACCCACAGGCGCAGATCCCCACACAGCAGGAATCACCCAAGGGTTTCGGGTTTAGGGTTTAGGGTTAAGGGTTTAGGGTTCGCAGCGGCCTGGATGCAAAAGGGGTTTAGGGCTTAGGGGTTAGGGTTTAGGATTTAGGGTTTAGGGTTGCGCGATCCCATTTGATGCGGCAAGGCAGTCAGCATCAAGCAAGAAGATGGGTCCGGCCTTCGGCTTGTCTCACGAGCTTTTAGTACAGAACTTGGGATTTAGGTACCTCAATAAAGATTACTGAGTGGTGCTTTAGCGCTTGGGTTTAGGGTCCAGGGTTCAGGAGTTTAGGGTTGTTCCCCATGTGTACTAACAGTCGTGAAGAGGATTTTCATAGGGGATACTATACTCTCTACTATGGACTGTTATCAGAAGGGGGAACATCCCAATTTAGGTGCGTTGAGGCGACGCGCAGCGCCTGATGTAAACCTGGAAGCGAACAAAACCTGGTTTCTGAATTCCTCGCTTAGAGGCCGTCAGTTTTCCCTGCATTGGGGTCATGGCCGGTTCGTGCTTCAACTTGCTGCCGGTTGCGCAGACAGGGGCAAAAGACGAGGCAACTGTATGCTTCCTTTCCCAAGCCGCTAAGCCCTAAGCCCTAAACCCGCAACCCTGCTTACACACGCCAGCTCGTGAAGGTGTCTGAGTCAAATGCACGCTGAGGTCAATCTTTCCTGTAGTGTATTGCCAAGGACCCAGAGCAGGCCCTCACCCTAAACCCTAAACCCTAAACCCTAAACCCTAAACCCTTTTAGATTCCCGTCATCAATGCCCTTGAAGCCAACAAGGGCACCCTGTCTACTCCTACTTGGAGCTTCCTGGTCCCTATTAACCAACTATAACTGTACTTATAACCCACTTAGAAGCCTCTCAAATGCCCTAGTATGGTTATAAGTAGAGTTATACGTACCGTTATAAGTACAGTTATAAGTACAGTTAGAATTGGTTAAAAGTGCCATGAACCTCCAAGTAGGTTAGTCGTGGGTCGGGCGGGGGCGAAAAACATAACTTGGGTTAGGGTTTCAAGGTTTAGGGTTTAGGGTTTTTGGTTTTAGGTTTTTTTCGGGTTTTTTTAAGGTTTTTAGGGTTTAGGGTTTCAGGGTTTTACGGTTTTTGGGTTTCAGGGTTTCAGGGTTTCAGGGTTTTAGGGTTTTAGGGTTTTAGGGTGTAGGGTTTAGAGTTAGGGTTCCGGTTTTTAGACACTGAACCAGGCTTATCGAGTTTGTCCATGAGAAGGCCACCCAGGCCAGGGGCTTGGCAGGGTCTGTGTCCGAGCTGCGTCCAGACTATACTACTACTTTGCTTAAGAACCACCCACAAATAAAATGTTCTTCTTTATCAGGGCAAACTAGGGACAATTATTATGCGCTGCTTATTTTGTGTTTTTTTTTTTTTTGGGGGGGGGGTTCTTAAGCCAATAGTAGTTTGGAGTAGAGTATGGAGCATCGTGTAGAGGATAGTTTCTGGAATCGTATGAAGTATAGCTTATCTTATAGATTGCAGTAGGGTGTATAGAGTATAAAAAACAAACCAAGAAAGATAAGAGTGCAGCAGAGAGTTGTAGCATAGTATATTGCAGACTACCGTGTAAAGCATGACCCTAAACCCTAAACCCTACACCCTAAACCCATGGTACAGAGTTTATCACCTGACTTTCAAGGACGCAGCTTCTGCAAGGCAAAGCTGCACATGCTGGTTTAGGGTTTAGGGGTTTAGGGGTTTAGCGTTTAGGGTATAGGGAACCTGGAACCTAAACCCTTCTGGCCAAGGACGGAGTCGTCAATAACTCGAAGACACACTACAAGTTTCGCTTTGATGGCATCCTACCGATGAAGATCTCTCAGGACCAGGATTTACAAAGGTAGGGCAGGGTTTAGGGTTTAGGGTTTAGGGTTTAGGGTTTAGGGTTTAGGGTTTAGGGTTTAGGGTTTAGGGTTTAGGGTTTAGGGACTTGGGGACTTGGGGACTTGGGGACTTGGGGACTTGCGGGTTTGGGCTGCGTCCCCTAACCCACCGGGTCCAGCCACGTAAGGAAAAGGAAGCGACAACAGGAGATGTTTCTCTCGAAGTCCATCAGCTGACCCTAAGTTCCACTGCATGCTGCACTTCATGGTGGTTTGAAGCAGGGTTATGGGCACTGTAGCCCACAGACACTTCTGAACTCGGTTCTTCAAAGGTGTTTGCTGCAAGGACGAGGTCTTCAACCAGGTGGCAAAGCCAGTGATCGAAGATGCTGCCCAGCAGCACAAAGTCATCCTACTGGTACAGGGTTCAGCCGAGGTTTGATACATGTGGGGATGCGTGCCGCATGCTCCGGAGCCATCACTTGGTAGCCCAGTGGTACCCAGTTCCCTTTGTTGGTTCAATGTTCCCTTGTCAAGTAAACAACCCCCAAAAGGGCTAACCCGAAACCCTAAACCCTAAACCCTAAATCCTACACCCTAAACCCTAAACGTTATGATTATGGTTCCTGGGCTACCAAGATGAAAAGGTAGATGTCCCTTGCACAGCGGATCAGGGCCTATGTAATGGCACGCCTAGTTGCCGAGGTGCTGCAAGGAATTAATGGCACCATTTTCGCGTACGGCCAAAGCCTCAATGTGGAGATCGGCTTCGTTTGCTTTGCGCCCTTCTCTGCCCATGTTCTGTCTTCTGCAAGTTGCTCGTGTCTGGAGTTCAGATTGGATTCCGATGTTCTCCTCCCAACGACAGGTGTTAGGTTACAATGGCACTGACAATATGCACGGCTACTTACTAAACCTCTAAAGGGCACCAATTGTTCAGTTTAAAATAGCTTTGAGAAGGCTGACTGTCTCCCAACCCAAGCACTAAACCCTAAGCCCTAAACCCTCAACTCGAAACCCTAAACCCTAAACCTCTGAACCTTCTACAGTGCAAGTGTTAGCACCTACTAGGTCAGACGGGCAGCGGGAAAACCTTCACCATCACCGGAGGCCGGGCCACCCGTGACTTTACAGGGTTTAGGGTTTAGGGTTTAGGGTTTAGGGTTTGAAGTTCAGGGCTGAAAGCTCCAGAAATGCGACCGGCTATGATCTGGTCCCTCTCTTTGCCTTTGACAAGATGTTTTCGTGTAGGGCTTTGGGGTTTAGGGTTTAGGGTTTAGGGTTTCGGGAGCTTAGGGCTAACGTGAAGAGTCAGGGTTCCTCAGCCCTAAGCCTTCTTTATGTAAGGGGATGCAAGGTACCGTGCCCTAAACCCTAAACCCTAAACCCTAAACCCTAAACCCTAGGAAGAACCAGGTTGAAGACCCCTCCAAGGATCCGAGAGGTACGAAGACCGTGGCCTGATCCCTCGCACCATCTCCTACCTTTTCGAGGCTTGGGGCTTGGGGTTTGGGGTTTGGGGTTTAGGGTTTAGGGTTGGGGGAGGGTGGTCGCGGGTGGGGCCGGGGCGCGAGGAGGGGGGGCAGGTTCTTGGGGTTTAGGGTTGGCAGGGAAGGGTGTTGAGAACTCAGGAGGCTTGTTCCTCGCGTCGTAGTCCAGAGAAATATCCTTAGCAAGTTTGTGGACAAGGGCACCTCAACAATGGAGCCAGAAGGCCATGGGCTCTCAGCCACGAGGATTGTGATACTCGCGCGCTTCAGGTTCATAGCCTAGGCAGGTGCCACGGGTGTGTAGTGGTTCTTAGGGTCTAGGGCTCAGGGTTTTCGCGTTTAGGGTTCAGGGAAGTTACATGGTCACTTACTATGGTCCCTAAACCCTAAACCCTAACCCTAAACCCTAAACCCTAAACCCTAAACCCTCCTTTAAAAGGTTCTGGGGCATGGGCCCTTGGGTGTCATCGGTATATAAGGGGTTCCCGTTTCCCTTTTGCAGGCCCGTTTTAGGGGACAATGTAGCTACCCTTGTTGATTTTAGAGATAAACCCTAAACCCTAAACCCTAAACCCTAAACCCTAAACTCTAAACCCTAAACCCTAAACCGCATTCCTCCCTTCTCGTTTCAGCGAGGAGTTCAAGAGTCGGCGAGATGCAACTTACCGCCGCGCTCACAGCTTCACGGCGAGGGCGAAGCACTCTTTGAAGGGTTTAGGCTTTAGGCTTTAGGCTTTAGGCTTTAGGCTTTAGGCTTTAGGGTTTAGGGTTTAGGGTTTAGGGTTTAGGGTTTAGGGTTTAGGGTTTAGGGTTTAGGGTTTAGGGTTTAGGGCGGCTGTCCGAGGAGGAGGAGGAGGAGGAGTTCTAAACGGGTCGACACAGACACAGACAGCCAAGATGAAGCGCGCGTTGCCTAAATGCGGGCCTCAACATACACAGCTGCTGTAGTCCACGGTGTTTGATGTATTTCGCAAAGCCAGCGCGTCACCAAGCGCGAGCGGTGCTATCCGATTCTGTCCCAAGGCATGTTCATCTCCTACCTAGAGATCTACAACAACGATGGCTGCGGCCTTTGCTTTGGATTGCCATTTAGCCGGGCTTCGGCTGGCTTATGGCGCGCAGAGTTTCGGGTCAAGTGATTACAATAAATGTGCTCCGACACTTGGGTTGCAGGGGCATTACATTTCGTTCATTCGCATGAACTGCACAAGTCCTGTCCCAGTGCTCCGAGCTCCTGTTAACATGACACACACACACACACACCGGGAGTGGTTACAAGAATCCGCCCTAACCCTAAACCCCTAAACCCTAAACTGTATGTAAGACGGCTTCCGGTTTGGGGAGTAGGCTTGCGAGGCAAGACACAATGGATGGACAGTGGATGCACAGTTACCGCAGCCCTTTTGGAGGTTTCGTTGCTCCTGCAGATCTCAAGTGGGGCTTAGGGTTTAGGCTTTAGGGTTTAGGGTTTAGGGTTTAGGGTTTAGGGTTTAGGGTGCCAAGTGTCAGACAACCCCCAAGCTCAGGCTATGACCTCCTGAGCCGCGGGGAGCAAACATCGAAGCTGGAGGACGACCTTTGCTAGCGGAACTTCTTTCTCCAAGTAACCCCAAACCCTACATTAAACTCCAAAGTTGGAACATCCTTATCCCCATGCCCCAAAAGGTATACTAAAGGGAATTTCGGCTCTGATCATCCTTAACTCATGTTCAAACTTTCTGAGGTTTACTGTAAACCGTAAACCCCCAAACCGTAAACCCTAAACCCTAAACGGTAAAACCCTAACCGAAGGCGAAGACGGTCGCTGATATGCGCTGGATTGCAATCTTGAAGTTTCTAGCAGAAGGGTCCATGTGCCTGAAGTCTAAGGGTAGTTGGGTAGCCCCTGATTCTGGCCCCTAAGATGATTATAGTACTGTACACTTGCAAAGTACGTAGTTGTGCGACACATGGATTCTTGAAAGAAGCCCTCCTCGTAAGCAAGGCAATTTGCCAACTCAAAAAGGGCTTACAGCATCTAGGGCCCTAAAGCAGCCGACTTGCCCAAGCAATGCGTCTGGCCGCTATGTGGTGTGGGTGTGTGACCTTTGTGGCTGCATCCATCCTAAATCTTGGGGTAGGTACATTGGCCCTCAGTATGGGCCCATAATTTTGGAACCCTTCTAAAACCTTTACCCTATACAAACCAAGGGCCCATAACCCTAAACCCTTAACCCTTAACCCTAAACCTTCAAGGAAGGTGGAGGACCACATTCAGGGACCATGTAATCAAAACCCTTAGACACGACAAAAACTCCCAGCCTGCTGCACGACCATGACTTGATGCTTGCGTACACTGGGTGATTTTGTTACTTAGACTCGCCTTGAAGGCTACAAACGAAGCCTTAACATTGATGGTGTGCTTATAAGGCAAATTATAACCCTAAACCCTGAACCCTGAACCCTAAACCCTAAACCACGTACATGGTCCCGGAAGTAAATCCATGGGGCTCACGTCGTCCACGGTGGTGGAATCCACTCGCAGCTTCTGGCCCCCCAAGCCCCCATCACACAGAAGCACATGCGCTGACTTCTCAGAGCATGACCTTCGGGGCTGCCCTAGAATTCCCCTCTCTACCCCCCCCCCCCCCTCCTCCCCCCAAGCCAAGCCAAGCCAAGGTCTCATAGCACCTCAGTTAGGAATCATGGTTTTTTTGGTTCATGACAGAAAGGTTGTTCAAGGGGAAGTCTAGCCCTAAACCCTAAACCCTAAACCCTAAACCCTAAACCCTCCGAGTTTAAACCTCTGTTTCAACACGAATTCAGCGACTTGCACGCAGCTTTGGCGCCGGCGGAGCCGTCAGTCAAGGCATGGGCTGCAGCGGCTCTTCGAAGGCAGCGAAACTGGGGTTCCAAGGATGCGCTCCTAGCCCTAAACCCTAAACCCTAAACCCTAAACCCTGAACCCTGAACCCTGAACCCTGAACCCTGAACCCTGAACCCTGAACCCTGAACCCTGAACCCTGAACCCTGAACCCTGAACCCTGAACCCTAACCCTCCTAGACCCCAAACCCTAGGGTTTAAGGTTCGCAACAGCTTGGGGTCGAAACCATCGAAACCCCCGAAACCCAAAACCCCATAAATCCTACAACCTTGCCAGCCACTTCGTCTCCTAGCAACCTGTCCAGAAAACCTGGCCAGACGCCAGCCGAACCAACGCGCTTCTAGGCACCTTCCGTGTGGGCCTGTGGCCCTGAACTTTTCGTTTAGGGGGTTTGGGGTTTAGGGTTTAAGGTTCGTAACGGCTTGAGGTCGAAACCATCGAAGCCAACCCGAAACCCTAAACCCTAAACCCTAAACCCTAAACCCTAAACCCTAAAGGCCCTAAACCCTAAACCCTAAGGATGCCCTCCGCAGGTCCTACCTTTTCTCGGGGAAGCCGATCTGCGTGGTCTCAGCCAGGTGGTCGGCTTGAGTTCAGGGTTTAGAGTTCAGGGTTTAGGGTTTAGGGTTCAGGGTTTAGGGTTTAGGGTTTAGGGCTTGGAGGGCTTGGAGGGCTTGGAGGGCTTGGAGGGCTTGGAGGGTTTGGAGGGTTTGGAGGGTTTGCAGGGTTTGGAGGGTTTGGAGTTCTTTTGGGGCTTGGCAGTGCGGTGCTCTGCGTCCTGCCCCTTTTACACCTTTGTTGGGATGTTCCCCCTTATACTATCAGTCCTTACTTGGGATTACAATGGGGGGGGGGGTACTACCATCCCTATTTAAGGACTGTCTCATAAGGGGGAACATCCCAACATACAACCCTTATGTACCCTAGAAACATTCCCATTTGTGCAGAAGCACCTGCGAGCTTGCCGACAGGAGCAGAAAGATGCAGAAGCTCGGCTCGATTGTGTTAAGCTGGGCTTCCAGTTGCTCATCCGAAACCCTGAACCCTAAACCCTAAACCCTGAACCCTGAACCCTGAACCCTGAACCCTGAACCCTGAACCCTGAACCCCAAACCCTGGCCCTAAACCCCAACTTTTGTGAAATTCCCCTCCCCTACAACTCTCCGGTCTTCCCACGATTCGGGGCGCCCTCAAAAAAACCCTTTGGGGGGTGGATTGAGGTCTACGCAGCCCCGAGCACGCCGAAAAGTGCCTGGGCTTGAAGATTGGGCTTGGAGTTTTGGGGTTTTGGGGTTTTGGGGTTTTGGGGTTTAGGGTTTTGGGTTTTGGGGTTTTAGGGTTTTTGGGGTTTTGGGGTTTTAGTAATTGGGGGGTTTTAGGGTTTAGGTTCTAGGGTTTTAGGGTTTTGGGGTTTTAGGGTTTTGGGGTCTTAGGGTTTAGGTTCTAGGGTTTAGGGTTTTGGGGTCTTGGGGTCTTGGGGTCTTGGAGTTTTAGGGTTTAGGTTCTGGGGTTTAGGGTTTGGGCTCAGGACCTGGGTTGAAAAATATGGCTTATGATTTAGGGTCCAGGGTTTGGGGTTTGTAGTCTAGAGCATCCTAAACTGCAAGTCTCGTTGAGACTTCGCAGTTCTGTGTGGCAGTCGTATATGCAGTCAGAAAGTGAAACAGTCAGCATGCACCTGAAACCTAAACCCCAAGCCGCTAAGGCCATGAAAGCACGTTCAAAGTCACTCTAGAACACGGAGATCCCTCGCGCCTAAACTTTCGCAACCTAAACGCCAAGAGGTCCCAAGCATTTATGGGGGCTGCTCTATGTTTTGGGCTTCCCCGGCCGACTGCCCAAGCCCGGATGCACCCTCAACCCTATACCCTACACCCTAAACCCTAAAAACCTAAACCTTAAACCCTAAACCCTAGCAAAGTCCCTAAACCCATGAAGGTACAGTCCTTGTAGTTGAGGGTGCTCAGAAGGCACCCCATGATTCAGCTCAACCACCAACCAAGTCCTCCCCAAACCCACCAGCCCTGGATTTGCTGGCTTGTCTGGAGTCTGGTATGGTCCTAAACCCTAGACCCAAAACCCTAAACCCTGTTTAGGTTTTAAACCCTAGACCCTAGACTCAGACCCAAAGCCCTAAACCAGCAAATTTGAGAGCCGGCCCCCAAACATCCCTGTGAACCGAACGAAGCCGTGACCCCGAACCCTAAGCTTGGTTCAGGTTAGGGTTTAGGGTCCTAATTGGGAACTGCTGGGGGCCGATGGACCCGACAAGGCCCCTGGTTGGGCGACAAATCCGACCATCATCAGCATCAGTTGGCCCTTCTGGGCCCCTCAGGCCCAGGCAGGGGCCAACTAATGCTGATGATGCTCGCCTTGTCGGGCCCCTCAGGCCCAGCGAAGGGCCCCTCACACCCAGCGATGCTCATGATGCTCGCCAGGGGCCAACTGATGCTGATGATGCTCGCCTTGTCGGGCGCCTGCCCAGCCAGGGCCCAACTAATGCTGATGATGCTCGCCTTGTCGGACCCCTCAGGCCCAGCGAAGGGCCCCTCACACCCAGCGATGCTCATGATGCTCACCTTGTCGGGTTTCTCACGCCCACACAGGGGCCAACTGATGCTGATGATGCTCGCCTTGGCGGGCCTTCACGCCCAGCCAGGGGCCAACTGATGCTGATGATGCTCGCCTTGTCGGGCCCGTCAGGCCCAGCCAGGGGCCAACTGATGCTGATGATGCTCGCCTTGTCGTGTTTCTCACGCCCACACAGCGGCCAACTGATGCTGATGATGCTCGCCTTGTCGGGTTTCTCACGCCCACACAGGGGCCAACTGATGCTGATGATGCTCGCCTTGTCGGGCCCCTCAGGCCCGGCCAGGGGCCAACTGATGCTGATGATGCTCGCCTTGTCGGGCTGTCTGGGCCAACTGATGCTGATGATGCTCGCCTTGTCGGGTTTCTCACGCCCAGCCAGGGGCCAACTGATGCTGATGATGCTCGCCTTGTCGGGCCCTCAGGCCCAGCCAGGGGCCAACTGATGCTCGCCTTGTCGGGCCCCTCAGGCCCAGCCAGGGGCCAACTGATGCTGATGATGCTCGCCTTGTCGGGTTTCTCACGCCCATTGTGAAACCCCTCAGGCCCAGCCAGGGGCCAACTGATGCTGATGATGCTCGCCTTGTCGGGCTTATCAGGCCCAGCCAGGGGCCAACTAATGCTGATGCTCACCTTGTCAGGCCCCTCAGGCCAAGCGAAGGGCCCCTCACACCCAGCGATGCTCA